CGCAGCGCCTCCAGAATACCATTCCCCAATTTTCTTGCGCAGAACACCAAATAAATGTTTTGTTCACTCTCTCCACACGCAAGACTACCGTCTTTCGACGATATTTGCAGATAACATGCAGATATGGGGACAATTTTTTTAAACCTCCTCGTGTGAGCTACAGCGACGAAGCGAAGAAGATCAAGCATCACGTGCAACCATCTCGAGACATTCTGAAGGCTTAGCCAGCTTAGCCGCCTGCTTGTCGGACACATGACATGTTTTTCCCAACTGTCCTGCTTTTCGCGGCTTCAGTCGTGGCTTCAAACACTCGTGGTAAGCTCTGCGCAGATTCTCTCATTTGATAGTAGAATCCAGCTAACATCTTCCAAATTAAACATCGCCGCCACTACATACCAATTATTGTGCTATAGCTTAAAGCCGAACAATTCGCTTTTAAACATGCACAATGATAGGTTGCAAGCGTTTCCCTCTTCACTATCAGTGATGTTTTTACAATAGAGTTGACCGCGTTAGCGTCGCCTGGTTGCTTACGCTGTTTTCAATATATGCCGTGCGTATATTGACGAGGTTAGCGTGTGGCGTATCAATCCTTAGTGCAAGGCATTGTGTAAACTATTTTAAACCGTGTGCAATAAAGATAAAAGTAATTTTTGAGTATTAGTAAACTTCAATTGCACTTTCCCGAAAAACCACTTATACTACGAGACAACACTTGGTAAGCGAGATAACGCACGAACAGAGAAGGTGGGTGGAGACGCCACCATGTGGTTGGCGCTTTAAATACCGTGACGTCACAGATGACGTTGCATAATACGTCTTACACAGATTCTAATTGGTAAAAATGAAGTACTGTGAGGGCTCGGCAACGTAGAAAAGGCGGCGATAAGACGACAACAACTTTAATAAACTGGAGCAACGGCATCAATGCAGTCATGGAGCACGCGTGCGCCTAGGAACGACTTCGAAACAGTGTGACGACTAGATCAACATGTAGCCCAAGGTTGCCAGATCACGTGCAGTCTCACATCCGACCCCTCTTTTTTTTAATGCTCGATTGGCTTTTTACATCACATCCCACCCTGTTTTTTTGTCTCATAGTCTTGCAGTCACCAAAACATCTAAATGGTCCGCGAATCCTGCATCAATGTGGTTTTCGTTGTTAAGCCTCTTCATCATGGTCTAAAGCTTGGCCTGTTGACTGGCCTTGTTGTTGTTCCGACATTTCTGGTGACTCTATCTGACGTTGCTTGACGTTCTCAGTGCTTGAATCCCAGTTCTTGCGCCTCTTCTGCTGCCGCTTCTCGCACCACTTCAGCGGTGCCTTCCTCAAAGTATAGTCACCTCTGACCTTGATCTGTTCTTCCTTCTACAGAGCCCAGTGGCATTTTCGCGTCTCCGGAGCCTCTTTCGCAAGGCACATTTTACATTCCTTAAAGTGCTCAACCTTTTCCGCCTTCATCTCCGGTTGGCGGACAACCTCCTCCTCCTTTTCGACGTTAGGCTGCGCATCTCTATTAGTTGAGGCGTCAGTCAATTCAAGCTTACTGTAGGCGACGTAGCTGTCACGGTAGAAGGCAGCTGCACCCTGTGGTGTCTTTGCTGTTTTCGGGTTGCTTGCAGCAGCTAGGCTTTCTTGACTGAGCTTGTGTTGCTTATTCCGGGTTGGCTTAGCAGCTGACTTGGTGGCTTGTTTGTTGTTCTTGCGCTTACGTTCTGCAGGTCTTTTACCTCGAAGAGTCTTAATCTTATGGCTGAGACACTGTCGAAGTTTATCCACAGAACTGGCAAGTTCTCATGGCGCTGAGTGGATACTTGTCCTGGCATCCCGTTGTTTCTTTGTTTTCAATTCATTGGCCTGCAGCAGCTGGCTTGCTGTATGGTACAGTCTTTGTTATAACTGTGCCGTCTTGGTGACCAAGCCTTGAGCATGAAACACTTGGCATTGTCGCTCCATGAAATTGCGATACTTTTTGCCACATCTACATGGTTGAGGGGCATATGGCGATGCATCCCGCACTAGCTCAATGGCGTGTTCTGTTTCTTTGTATAGGTCCAAATCATTGTCATCAGTAGCAAAGAGGTCAACATGCTGACGCAAGACGTGTTGAACTGCCATAGCTTCTTCTTCTTGCTGCTGTGGACATATGTAAGCATCACTTATCTTGTCCAGCGTAGCATCGTTTGTGCAAAGCGTTGCTGCCTTTGGTTGAAGTGGCTGCTTTCCAGGCAGATCTTCATTGTGTTTGAGGGATAACCATATGGGCTGGTTGTTATCCGGAAATGGCCATAACTGCAAGCAGCCTGTGGGAGACACAGCTTCTTTAAAAGAATGCTCAGGACTACTTGACAGCACAACGGCATTGGACATCCGTGGCAGTGCCTTTTCCAGGCACCGCATGACAATACCCATGCCAGGATAGCGGGTTTCTGTTGGATGAGGCGGGCGGACAAGAAGCTCAGCGCGGGTGACTCAAACCAGTCTTCTCTGAGGATTAAAGGCAAGGGGTTTCTAGCCTGAACTAGACCCTAAAGTACTGCCAAAATAGGCTCCACAGCGATACGAGTACATAATGTACCAGCTGGCATGACGGTACCGCCACCTACAACAGATATGGGAGGTTTAGTCCATGGTAGCAGGTTGGCAGATCCAATGACGTCTAGCGATAGTATGGTGTACTTTGAACCACTGTCCGGAAATGCGTCTACAGTGCCGATAAGTGGAATGTCTGCTTGAATCACAGCGCACTGCACAAGATATCCTTCGAGTGGTTCTGAAGGTTGAAGGCACGCCAGGGAGGGAAAACTTGTTTGCTGGATGGGTAGATGGGCACTGGTTCTGGAACGGGGGCACTTCGAAGCAAGATGACCCGGTTGGTGACAGTTGTAACGTATGGCCTTGCTTATATCTTCTCCGGGGCGATAAGCAGGTATGTCATTTCGGGAACTAATTGTAAGATAACGAGTGTCTTGTTGATCCAGTGGTAATGACGAAATTCGATGTGGTGCTGATGAAGCAGACGGATTGACTTGTGGAGAAGCTATGCCATTCCTAGAACCGGCCTGCAGCACAGGCAAGGGAGGCACTCGCAACGTTGACGATCTGGCTGCAATGGGCGGCTGACTTGGAAAAACAGAGGCCTGCTCTATAGTTCGGTCGAGTTGGGTGGCGATGGCAAGACATTCGCTCACAGTTGCTGGTCGTTATGCAGCGATAGTTGTTGCCCATTGTGCGTCGCCCACACCCTGTAAGGCATATTCAATGCACAAACGGTACATCTTGAAATTACGCACAGTTTCACCAAGGAGTAGTCAACGAAGTTTTCACAGGGAGACTGGACGCGTCTAGTGACGGTGCTGCCACTGCAAAAGCGCAAGGTTGTCCCCAAATTGGCTCTCGAAGGCAGTCTTGAAATTTTCCCACGTGTCCAAACAGTTTCCTACCACGCTCTTCCAGTCTGCAGCCGGGCCACGGAGCTTGCTAAGCGCTACGGTGAGGAGAGTAGAGGGTGTCCATAACGCCATTACTTGGGTACGCTCGAGCTCTGGAAGTCACTGGTGTGCTGAAATGCTACCATCACCGTTGAAGGTTGGCAATGAAGCCAAGAGGTCAGGCAACGTAGTAACTTGGACTGGAGTCGTCGGCCATTGGGACAACATCAAAAACTGTTGCAGTTAGTAATTCAGCATTTTCGTACTTGAAAACGACTGCTCAGCTATCTCATGGGACCCACCAGGTTGACGGTTGTGGGCTACGTCATGAAGCAAGCGTTCAATCATTTCATTCTTCGAGCCTGTCATCTCCAGATTACGGCACGAAAGTTCATGGCGAACGAAGCCTGTTGTGAACCCTTTAAGGGCTTCTACAGTAGCCTCGTTCCAGTTTATTAGCGGCATTGTGGTCGATGGAAGGGTGGGCAAGATCGAAGAAGGTTTAGGGCAGGCAAAGGCAATGAGGTGGGCAGCTAGCACAAAAACACCAACTCACACGAAATGGACGAATGGCTCCGGTTTTCTCGGCATTGTTCGTCGACGACTGCACCAAATGTGAGGGCTCGGCAGCGTAGACAAGGCGGTGATAAAGCGAAAATGACTTTAATAAACCAGAGCTACGGCATCAATGCAGTCATGGAGCATGCGGGCGCCTAGGAACGACTACGAAACGGTGTGACGACTAGATCAACACGTAGCACAAAGTTGCCAGATTACGTGCAGTCTCACATCCGACCTCTCTTTTTTTTAAATGCTCGATTGGCTTTTTACATCACAGTACATTGTCATCTGTGGGCGCCATAGGGCTAACAAACGAAGTTTCAGAAAATTACAAAGAACCCATGTCGCGAAAATACAAAAAATACATTTTGAAATAAAGTGACGTGATGTGAGGAGATATTAGCGCAAAATTCAAAAATTTAACGTCCAACCTCAAGTTGTACGCTATATAATAATGAAATATAATAGGGAAACTTACAACATTTGGGTTCTCAGAGTGCAGTTTATTAGAACACAGTTTATCAATTTAAACCTAGTCATTGTTTCTATTTAGTGTATGCATTTAGAACAGCCTAATAAAGAGGAAGTGTAGGAATTTGATGCCCCCTACTGATCCCACTCCTGGCGAACACACTCCTGGCGAAGAAATTCACTTAGCAGTCGCCCAGTTGGGCACACCTCATAATAAACCCGAGCTTTAATTTAATCTTACTGCGCAATTTAGGTATTTATCCACAGGGGATATGCATCTATTCTCGTGCATGAGTCTACCATCAGCGTACTGTACATTAAAGCGACGGAATGTATAAAACAATCAGCTGGATATATTACAGTGTCCATGATTCCAAGTTGTATAGAATCCAATGCAACAGCAATGGTTCCTGCACAATAATGCCACTGAATCCCTCCTGGCTGAATGAGCGTAGGAAAAGTGAACTATATATGCAAAATGAAACTGAAAGGCTAGCCAAGTGACTAATACTGTAAACACCGCACCTGAAGTGGCCATGAGCGAACTTGGTGAGGGTGAATTTGCGTACTTACAGCTACTATATATATTCTATGCGCAAGAGGAATGAATCATGTTTGCAAATCTGATAGACATCATAGTCAAGATGCATGTCTATCGTTGAACAGCTTGCTCTGTGAAAGTTGCCTCACGGTTTAAGGCTTATTTTCTGCAGTTTAAGCGTTGTATGTACCTGACATAAGGTGATAAAAGTTTTCAATTAAAAAAAGAAAACTCGAACAAATCATGGGCAAGAAAGTGCTGAGAAGCTCTGACTTGGTAACGTTGTCCTTCTGATGTTATCCTGTTCAGTCTTGGTAACGTTGTCCTGCGGGCAACAGAACGGACAATGAAGCGATTTGGTGTCATCCTGAACGAATATTAGTGCGCCGAAAACGGGGACGAGAATAGAGAAGACAAACTACAGCGCTGACTCGCGACTAAATTTTATTCAAGAAAAAAAAAACATTGAGCTTGCGCGATGCTTATTTTTCTTTCTTAGGTTTTCCAGATGTTACTTATTCCACTTCTTCCCGGAATAAAATTTAGTCTTGAGTCGGCGCTGTAGTTTGTCTTTTTCTATTCTCGTCCCCGTTTTTGTCGTGCTAATACTTGTTCAAGTTCCTGCTTGCTACCTAACACCTTCGAAATTAACTCAAAACGAAACAAAATGCATGACAATGGTTGTCTTGAAAGATAGTGGGATAATATTGTCTCAATTTTAGCTAAAATGGCCAACAAATGTTATCACAGATAGTGTTATGCATTTATTACTTATGAGGAAGTTTTAGTAGAGTCTGCAAAAAAAAAAAAAACAGCAGGAAGCAGCTCGTTTTGGTTTCGTAAAAAAACTTCCCTTATGTCCTTTATTCACGCTGTATATGCATTATGACAGACGAAGGAAAGGCTGCATATTGTAGCTGGTGACTATATTGCTGACTATATTTGTACAGATAAGCGGCTCAACATGTTCATACGTCGCTTCGAGCCCGTGTACTTCGACCCTGTGCACCGGAGCCACAGCCGGGCAAAGCGCTCCGTCGATGCCGGAGGGAGCGGCGACGTACGTGTGCAGATTCGCAGCAGTAGACGGTGAGCGAGCGCGTCACTAAGCAGTTCTCCGCTAGCCATTCAAGTGATGAACAAACCCCGCGTTCGTGCGTTACAGTTGTACGTGTTTGATTAGTATAGAAGTTTGAGCTAGTTGGCAGGGATTCATTCTTGTGAATGCGTGTGCTTCACTACGTTCTCGAGAAGGACGAAAAGAAGTACAAGACTGCACACGCACTGACTCACGAACTAAAATTTATTGAAATAACAAAAAAAGCAGAAAGAACTAACAAGTGGCGCTTACCTCTGAGCATGCCAACTCCCGAAATTTCAAATTTTTTTGTGGTGATTCATGGTCTGAATGAAAACAATATTTGAAGCGCATGCACATAAATACCTTACGTCAGCCCTTTGTAAATCACTCGTTTTTTTTTAGATAAACTGTATTTGTAAGTTTGCGCCTGTCCTGTGTACTTCTTCTCCTCTTTGTCAAAGGACACCGTGAACTGCGCATGCATATTTCCAAGCGTGAGAACTTATTTGAGTGAATTACCTTCAGCGCCTAACTTATCTACCACGCACGTTCTGTCTCTTTAACTTCCCCACAACCATTCATCACGTCAAATGAATTCATTTTCGTCTTCTCTGCGTTCACCTTCGGATAATCACATTAGTGAACGAGGGATGCTACTGCCACGAAGGATTAACGACGGGGATTTTACAGCTGCACAATTCAACTGACTGCGCTATCTATAGAACCGGCGAATTCTACCCATGGAAGCATTACTATTGTTGCAACTATAGGGCTGGGCGAAATTTCAAAGCTGGTGTTTCGCTTGGAAATAAAATACAGTCTATGTGGCGAGCGCAGCAGCACGTGGTAAGCACGCTTCTCGCTGATTTTTGTTGTCACCTATATTTTATGCAAACTTTTGACAGTACCGCGAATAAAAGATTTCTGCACTCTGCCTGAGGATCGGAAAGATGCCCGCAGATAGCACGGCTAACTGCCGTGCGATATAATAATAATAATAATAATAATAATAATAATAATAATAATAATAATAATAATAATAATAATAATAATAATAATAATAATAATAATAATAATAATAATAATAATAATAATAATAATAATAATAATAATAATAATAATAATAGGTTTTTATACCTCCCAAAACTACGGTATTATGATAGACGCCTTTGAGGAGGGCTTCTGAAATTTCGCCCACCTGGTGTTCTTTATAGTGCACTGACAACGCACTGTATACAGAATTATGGCATTTCACATCCGTCAAAATGTAACCGCCGCAGCCGTAATCGAACCCTTGACCTTCAGGTCAGCAGTCGAGTCCCATGACCACTTTTCCACCGCAGCGGACGGGGCAGTTTTAGCTGACTTTTCGCTGCGCAAGGGCTAACGCGCCATGTATGATGGTTTTGTTTAAGTGAAACTAGTCTGCCATTTAGGGTTATTTACCGAACCACCACATTTTTTAAAACAATATACAGGATTCAGCTAAAGTAAGGATTATTTTTGCTCATTTGCATAAATGTAAAACTTTTCAGATTTTTCTTGAAGAAACGATTCGACAAAAAAAAAGAGGCCAGAACTAAAGGCTCCGTTATTAGAAGACACTAAATAAATATTATAGCTGTAGCAGAAGTAAAGTTCTTTGTATGTAAAAACAATGTTCTTTGCATGTAAAAATAAAGTTCCTTGTGTGTAACAACAAAGTTCCTTGCATGTAAAAATAAAGTTGTTTGTATGTAAAATAAGGTTCTTTGTGTGTAAAAATAAAGTTTTTTGCATGTAAAAATAAAGTTCTTTGCATGTAAAATTAGAGTTATTAGTATGTAAAAATAAAGTTCTTTGTATGTATGCATGTATATAGTTGCAGCAGCTACCATTGATGACAAAAAGGTACATGATTCGTGTGTAGTGGACGGGAGAAACCTAATAAATTGCAGCAAGGGCTCTTCTTCTTTTACAAGTCACTCAACTTGCATCTCACCGCGGACGCATCTGTTTTTCACAAAAACCTCGTCGTAGAGTCGTCTACAGAAGGAATCGTCAACGTTGATACGAGCCACATCTACAAAGGCTACGTTATTGGTACGTGAACGGTTATTTTCCTGAATTCACGAGCGTATATTGCATGTTGCAACTGTCGCTGATGACACGGTGTAACGGGACTGCATCCTTTGCTTTTAGTATCTATGAAAAGCAGCTGGCTCGTAACAATATAAACAAAAAATGCAACTGTGGCTCACATCAACACAGGTTTGACTGTGTAAAATTATGGCTTTGTCGTCCAGTTTACACGCGCGCTCCAAAAAAGCCTGTAATGTCTAGCTCTAAAAGACAAAAAGAAAGAGAACGTGGAAATGCGAGAGGAAGTGATAACCATGTTTCCATGCATGCGCAGTTACCATTTTGTGAGTGGGGAAACTACACATATGGCGTGTTTGCGTTGTAGTGCATATCAGTTGGAAGTAGCACTCTGTGTGATGCATTTTGTTTGCGTCCTTGTGCGCTCGAAGGGCCAGTAAACAGGCTGCAACTTTTTTTTACACCCCTCATACAAGCTCGGCAATTTGTAGATTAGACCGCAGCGATCACGTTTTCTGAATATTGGAGCGCTGCGCCCCGCGCAGAGCCTCTATTTCGAAAAACAATTCCCGCTCGTCTTTCCTACGCCTGACCAACCCCCTCGCACGTGCAGTGACGTCAACTCGGCGATAGGCGACGTGACGTAGCACGCAGCTCGCCGATTGGTCTAAATCGGGTATTAGAAAACAGTAGTGAAGTCAACGTCAGTTCCTGTTGCCACCCACAGCTACGAAACTGCCCCTTGTTTCTTGACACTGCGGTGAAAGAACCACCCTCGCAGTTGTAGCGTGCACGTGTACACTCCGCTCAACTACAGTGCTTGTGCGCAGCGCCGCCGTGGTGGTCTAGTGGCTAAGGTACTCGGCTGCTGACCCGCAGGTCGCGGGTTCGAATCCCAGTTGCGGCGGCTGCATTTCCGATGGAGGCGGAAATGTTGTAGGCCCGTGTGCTCAGATTTGGGTGCACGTTAAAGAACCCCAGGTGGTTAAAATTTCCGGAGACCTCCACTACGGCGTCTCTCACAATCATATGGTGGTTTTGATACGTTAAACCCCACATATCAATCAATCAGTGCCTGTGCGCACGTACTTCGCCCTTGACATGAGCAACACGGGTAAAAAGCGTTGCTCTGTCGTGGGCTGCAAATCGAGTGACTAGGCAGCAGAGAAGCGTCGGCACCGGGTGCCTCACGATGGGGGCCCTGCGCGCTGAATGGCTGAAGCGAATCGGCCATCCAGCGACGTACGTCGGGGACCTGATTGTTTGTGGTCGACACTTCGCACCTGACGCTTACACGGTTGACCCGCGGCTGGTGCGGCAAACGGTAAACAAAGAACCACGCTTCGCATCAAGCGGAAGTGCGTTGCGACTGATCGAGTTCGCTGATGACGTCAATCGCTGACGTGGTGTCACGTTGCCGAAGTTGGCGGAGTCACGACGATGGGCTACGCCTTCCGCTTCATGAAATGGAGAAAGGGGGCGAGGCCGTGCGAAAATATGAAACCAGCTTAGACCGATGTTCTAACCCCTGTAACTTCCTTAAGATTGCCCCGCCGCGGTGGTCTAGTGGCTAAGGTACTCGGTTGCTGACCCGCAGGGCGCGGGTTCGAATCCCGGCTGCGGCGGCTGCATTTCCGATGGAGGCGGAAATGTTGTAGGCCCGTGTGCTCAGATTTGGGTGCACGTTAAAGAACCCCAGGTGGTCTAAATTTCCGGAGCCCTCCACTACGCCGTCTCTCATAATCATATAGTGGTTTTGGGACGTTAAACACCACATATCAATCAACTTCCTTAAGATTGCACGTATTCGGAAAATTCTTGCGGCAGCATGTTCACAAAGAAAAACTGCATATATATCCCTTTCTAAAAATTTTTGGACCTCAGGGCTGTTTACTGGCCTTTTAACGCTTTCATGTCACCCAGTATTGTATGTGATGTGACATGCAAATCCTGGTATTTTGTTCGTATGCATTTCCTGGTGTTTTCCAATGTGCTCATCGGCAATCGCAAAATTTTGCATCGCAAGTGATATTTGATAAATAGTACGGGCTACTTTAAAGAGCCCTTGCAACACTTTTTCAGCATGGTCAGAAAACGCTACCGATCAGGGGTCGAGGCTCCCGAAAACAGGCGTGTCAAGTATTATAGCGCAGCACGTGGTGTGGAATATACAATAACTTCTCAAAGTCGGCGAAAAATCAGTTTTTCTTCTCTCGAAAAATGACGCTACAGGCTCAAGATGACAAGGTCTCAGGCCTAGTATCAGCCTCCGGCAGATTTGAGCATGACGTGCATGGTGGTTACTGGGGCCGCCGCGAGAGGCTGCGATTTGTCCACGCATGAGCACGCGATCACAATGAAAAGTCAATCAAAAAAGAAAAACAAAAGTGTTCAACGTCATAAGGCACTTTTGACGCATTTTCTTTCCCCGCGCCATCCCTCGCTGCTTAGCTTCCCACACTTTCGTCAGGACGAAAGAAGATAATAAATGCAATCGATAGCAGCGCGCCATACATGTGATTTCGCACTGGACGGAGTGGGAAAATTTTTGAGGCAGTGAATTCGCGAGACAATAAGCTACATCATGGCTACTTAAAATAGTGATGCAGGATCCCTTTAAGAAAAGTACAGCAGCAAGCTCATATATTTTTTATGTATGTGCTGAAGCCGTAGGACTGGGTTGATAGCATATCTGTTCTCGTAGTGTAGCAGCGATCGTTTTTTGTGATTTGAAATATCCTTCGAACCTTCTCGATTGAGTCGCTATTTTATTATGATATTATATCACAGTTGGTCGATAGGTTGGCCTGTCGGGTTGTAAGGAACTGCAGAGTGGTAGTTGCGGGCCGTGCTCACGTTGGGGCCGGAAGTCTATGGTCTTCCGCCCGTTCGCGGGTAATTTGGACATCCCTCTGTTGTTACTAGAGATCGGCGCTTTTGAGGTTCTTCCTCCTTGTCCTCTTGTTTAATAAAATACATGTCGTAACGAGGAACACGGTCAGAGTGTGTGCGCTAACGAGAATACTCTTCATGACACTCAGGCCTCAAGGAAGTATGGGTCGATGTCAGGAGCTCTTCGACTAAACCTTCCTCTCGACGGGACTCTTGTTATTAATGTGAGCCTGTTCTCCGTCTTTGCTTCAAGCAGACAATAGTTTGTTTGTTGCTTCCCTGCCTTCAATTGAAGGATTTTAAGTTGATGCTGGTAACCTCACATATCAATCAAGTTGATGCTGGTAATATAACAGTATTCTTACTCGATTCCGTATATACAGCTGACGTCATCCATAATATATCGGTCCTCGTCAAAACTTCAATACTTTTGTTCAGGTTACATTCTTAATGTATTCGTACTCGAATCCATATAGACAGCTGATAGCTGACGTCATCCATGATATATCGGTCCTCTTCAAAACTTCAAAACTTTTGTTCAGGCTAGATTCGTAATGTTTATGCTTCACTAAAACTGATCTATGTTGAACTAACAGTCGTATTTGATTTTTAAAGGGTCACTTGTGAAATTTCACCTGGATGTTTGCCCAAAAATAATGAAACTAATAAAGCTCTATCACATAAATCCTCTTGGCTTCCCTTGAGTTAGACCGCACCACTGTTCAAATTGTTCACGAGAAAGGGCTGACATGAACAAAGCCTTACATGTGACTTGCAGGTAAACCCCGTAGCCGGGTGTTCGGCTCTCTTTACCATGGTGTGTTCGAAGGCAGCATCGAGACCAGCTCGGGCGACAGCCTCTACGTGGAGCGGGCCAGCAGGTTCTTCAATGACAGCCGCCCTTACCACTCGGTGCTCTATTCCAGCGCCGACATCGAGTTCCCTACGTTGGCAGGCGGCCGCTGGTGTGGGCTGCACGGCAGCACCGAAGAATGGATGAGAGACACGCTGCGCAGACTCCATCACGTTTCACCCCAGAAGGCGAGAACAGGGGCAGATCTCTACATTGTACAAACTACCTTCGCCCAAAGGGTATCCATACCGTATAAAATGCACACGGCCTCTTAAAGGCGCCCTGCAAAACTTTTTGAGCCTGGTCAGAAAACGCTGCCGATCGGTAGTAGAGGCTCCCGAGAACACGCAAACAAAAAGTTATAGCGCAGCACGCGGCCTGCAATTCACGATAAATTATCAAAGTCAACTAAAAATTGTTTTCTCTTCTCTCAACAAATCACGGAATAAGCCCTAAGATCACTCGTAGTAAGCCCATCGATCAGCCATTGGCTTATTCGAACATGGCGCGTTTGGTTGTTACAGAGATTACCACGAGAGGCCGTCACTTGTCCACGCGTGTGTGCGCGATCGCACTGAGAAAGCCGCGTATTTAAAGAAAAAAAAAAGAAAAAAAATTGGCCCGAATCTACATGTTACACTGTGAAGGTCGCCGAAAGACGATAGTCTTGCGTCTGGAGAGAATGAACAAAACGTTTATTTGGTGTTCTGCGCAAAAAAATAAGTGATTGGTATTCTGAAGGCGCTGCGTTAGAATGCCTCGAGCATGTAACGGAGGCGAACAAGCGCATTAAGGATGGATGGATGGATGGATTGATTGATATGGCTGTACCCTTTAGATCGGGTGGTGGCTAGCGCCACCAAGCCGTAATACTTAATGAACCAAAAACTAGATTTTTCCCGTTAAATAGTGATGTTGAGGATTCGTACTTTGCAGTGAAGGGTTTAATTTTCACTCGTGCCTTGACTTTAGCCATCAATCAGATAACCTCCTTCTAGTTAATTCTACCCGCTTAAAGTCTATTTTGCCCTCCCTGTCCCTAAACCCCAGTGCTTTGAAAAACTCTGCGCCATCATCCTGAACTATAAGGTGAAGCCCTTTACAGAACATTATCAAGTGTTCGGCACGTTATCAAGTGGTAGGCACGTTAAACACGAGCGCCATCTAGCAGTGATCATCGAAAACGAAGCCATGCGCGACCGCGGAGAAAGATGCGTGCCAGTCACAAGGGTGATAAGGTGTTGAATGGAAAGCGACGGGCAGGTGCCACCACCGTGCCGTCGTAGCAAAGCGTTGGAAACACCTTCTTGAGCATCGCGTTGCACTGTCAGCGCACCGTGCTAAACGCTACAGTCCTTAGAGTGTTTTGTGTGTGTCTTCTTCTAGTATAAAGGCAGACATACAAAACATAGACATGTTGTTATGGCGCCTCAGATATGCGAAATATTCGCTTTTTTAATTGACAATCGCACAACTATGAACGCTAAACCTTGAGGAATATTGGTGGGCGCCGCGAATGGGGTTGACCGTTCGGTGCCGTTTGAGGTATCGTTAGGGCAGACAAACAGACAAATGTACAGACAGACAGACAGACAGACAGACAGACAGACAGACAGACAGACAGACAGACAGACAGACCAAAATTTTGCCCTCGAAGGTCCCCAAGAAAGACTGTCGTCTTTAAAAGTGCTCAACGTCACGAGGCGCACATGACGTTTTTCGTTTGCGCCTCCCATCCCTCCCTGCTCAGCTTTCAATGCTTTCGTCGGGTCGAGAGCAAAGAGAATGCGAGTGCCGCGTATGACAAATCTTCGCAACTCCGCTCGTACTGGAGGGATGCTTAATATTTTTTCGGTGTTGAATTTGTGAGGCAATACGCTTTTCCAGTGAATTAATTCCATGGTTGCTGCAAAGAGTGTTTCAGGGCAATTTCAAGCATTAGCGTAAGACGATACGAAGGCCAAAACCTTTTTCTTTATTCAGTCGATATATTGACTCCAGCACTTCCCCACCCCTTTACCCAAAATTGCTCTGCACAAAACGTGGTTATTCGATGACTCCAGGTTCAGCCTATCTTTGACCATGCAATAATATTCATGAATATGATGGGAGACTGTACGTTAAGTATCATTTCCCGTGTGCAAGTTTTTGCTAGGTCAGTTGGTTCGATTCATCATTGAGCCAAAGATCGACCAATAATTACCAACTATATTCATTCGTGTCGATGGCGTAAGCGCACCGCCATAAGGCAGTGTTGTTGTCAGAAAAGTCTAAGGTTATTAAAGAAACTTATAATTTTTTGGAAAGCACCTATTCGTTCCCATTTGTTTAAGAAGGTTACTAAAAAATTGGCTCAGGCCTTTTCTAAGGCTCACCTTTCACCATGCAGGTGTGCTAGGTCGTTTAGGAACCACGCAAGAACAAATACGGATGAGTAGGTCAATTTAAAATTTTCGTTCATGCGTAAAGAGATTCAGAACTCCTGAAGTCTCAGAACAATACCATAATTTAGCGCGTGCATTTACACTGTGCAGCGTCACCCTGCGGTGAGCCGTGTAGGCCGGAAGCTGCATGCCTATAGCGAAGCAATTGATGACGACGAAAATGAAAGACACGACCGCTCTACGGCGAAATATAATGAGCCGATCGGCGAAGAAGAACGCGACACCACCGTGGAGACGCAGCACGAAGAGCTCGACCATTCCCGAGATTACGCGGAATCGACAAAGAAGGCGAGGTCGAAGAATAAATACGCGAAACCTGCCAAGCCACGTCAGGAGTCTCTGTCACGTCGCGTGTGCAATTTGGAGATTGCCGTGGACAACACGTTCACCGACAGCATCCTGCAGGATACGGATAGTGTCATGGCGTCGCGAGAGATCGCCACGTCCGTTGTCGCCCACCTGGTGAACAAGGTGAACTCCATCTACGGTGGCATTAACTTCGACGGCATTGAAAACATCAGCTTCGTCGTGCAACACATCATGGTAAGTGCCACATGCGATTACATTGGGTGTGTTGGATACGGCGAATGAGACAGATTTCGTAAGTCGTAATAGAACGGTAGGGCTCCCATGCACGGATGTTTTCGGGATGGCACGGCTCAAAGTGAGCTGCATGAAAAGTTTATAGGTATGGGCTCTGCGCAGCCCTTGTCCGACAACCTCAGTTTTTCGACTAGAGCGTCCACCACTGGCGCGGCCAGTAGACTAAAACTGCCGTCAAATGACTGCCAATAAGAGAAGTACCTTATATGGCGTCCATAAGTGGCACTAGGTTCCGACACAAGTCAAGAGATTCTTGGGAAAAAAAAGTTCATATGACCAAACAGTCGTAATCTCTGCTGATATGTCTTCATGTGCCGGTTTAAAATAACCACAATGATATCGCCGTAGAACTTCCGTTTGAACGAGTGTATTGCCGAGGTGAGGCATGCACAGGAAACAGAGATTGGAACCAGACTATAGAAACGTCATGTTGACTCCATTGCCTTGACTTTGACCATGGTGGCCGTGTTCGCACATGTCACTTCCTTACACAAAGAATAAAATGCTGTCCTTTTTTTCATAGGCGCTGTAATCGAAAAGATAGGCAGTGCACTTGGTGCTGTATATGCGTGTTCTTAGACACTAGCTTTCTTTGGCCGGTTTCTAGCGTCAGTGATAGGCTTTAGCATGTCTTTTTTGTGAAGCCCTTAGCAAGCGGAGTTGCTGCAGTTTCCACAACGCGTGACATTCGGTTCACATTTGTGACATAAAGCGATTAGAATCGTCGTATTGCGGATCGCAGATTAGCGAGCCCGGAGACTGCGTAGGCTACAAGGCGAAGCAGGACCCGCTGTGCAGCACGTCGTTGGACCCGGCACAGCTTCTGTACCTAGTGTCACTCACGCGCCACGACGACTATTGCCTGTCATTCAGGCTGAACTTCCGCGATTTCGCTGACGGCACTCTGGGCCTTGCATGGATCGCCGGCGAGGAAAGTGAGGACTGCTTTTGAATGCTAATAGCATAGGCGTGTGCATGAGGGTGGCAGGGGGGGGGGGGGCTCCTCTCCTTTCATCACCTAAAATGGGAGCCACTGTCAGCGGTACTGACATAATGAGGAGAAGGGTGCTTTAACAAAACTTCTACCCCCCCCCCCATGTTGGAAAACTCTGTGCCCACTTATGGCTAATGTATTACGAATTCCAATGTTGAGGAATGCTTAATTTTGACCATATGTTGATTGGTAGCTTCGTCATTCGTCGGATAAATGGGAAAGCTGTCGCTGTGTAAATAATCCATGGCTGATCAGTCTAACAAACTTGGACTGAAGGAACCACAATCAGCTTACAAATGCATCATCGCTCGTATGCCTCTCGGAAACCGATACGCAAAGAGCCAAGTGTAGTATCTTACAGTCGCTTAACAGAGCTGTGACAGCAATCAAATTCAAGTGATTTTGTGTAATCGTATAATAATGTGATACTGGTCTGTGTGAAAATTGGCACACCTCATGCGGTTGTGGAGATCCCTACAGCGGTTCATTTACCAATGATTGGCATGTATGTAAATGCGCTTTTGAAAAACCTACTAAATGGTATTTAAGTAATATTTTGTTTAGAGGTGGCCGGGCAGCTGTCCATTATTAACGGTTAGGCGTACTACACTAAGACTATTTCTGACATTGTATAAGAATGAAAAGACCACAAATATTTCCGACAGGCACAAATTAGATATACAAAACTTGGCACTTAAGAAACTATGGACTGAAGCGCAAGTGTGTCTAACTTAATAAAATGCAATTTAAGAAGTGTACTATCATTGACTTCGCTATCACAGGTTCATCATTAAATGAGAAAATGAAGGTCAAATCTGAATTATCGAATTTTTACGCCAGTCTTCTCACATCTCCATGTCAATCTGAGACCTCATATCTCGGAATGCTTTATGTTTTGACCAGAGTGGTTGAGTTAAGTGTCCTGAGAGTTTCGAAGCTTAATCCCCCCGCTCTCCCCCCCCACCCCCACCCCGAAAGCTTTCTGCGCCCAGCGTGGTTTGCCGCACCTTCGGGATTGGCCCACCGCTGACCACGTGGTGACGCGTTCTGATGACGTCATCACGTGACAGTCACGTCAATCACGTCTAAGTTTTTATGACCTTTGACGTCAAGATTTCGTTGCAGGCTAACGTCAACACGTAGTGGTGATTTTTCACCTCACTAGGGTTGACACTGGTGGCCACTATTAGCGGTTGATAAGACATGAAAGGCTTTCACTTTAAAAGGCCGATTATGTGTGCCTACTTCTTGTACCTCTATGGGTTAGCACATTCTGGCTCTTGGGTACGGTCAAAGATTTGGTGATCATGACCGACAGACCGAAATAACGAGTGGACATTTTTTGACGCTGTGTGCAGCGGGCACTGGTGGCATCTGCGAGCGGTACCGGTCGTCAGTGGAGTATGATCCCGTCAGAGGCGAATACCGACAGGCCAAGATGAGCCTCAACTGTGGAATCACCACGCTCATCAACCAACGCCAGTACGTGGGCCTACTGATAGGCTCACTCACGCTCGCCCATGAGATTGGTCACAGCTTTGGATCGCCCGTGAGTCGGAAGTTCGTACTTTTGCTTGTGTTCCTAAGAATGACCATGCCTGCCAGTCACCAGAATAGCTCCAAGTTCACGAGAAGAAGGAGAAGGGCGTTGTAGTTTGCAGACAGATCAAACCTTGGCTATGTTATGCGGGACATTGCTAGCGTGCATGGTACTACAGCAAAATGATCTAACCAACCGGCAATTCTTGCAGATGTGAGTTTAAACAGTACGGGGCTTTCGTGCAGTGTCGTACGAAGATGTTGAAAATGTGTGCCGTGTTATATGCGCACATCATGCCACACCAGAAAATTATAGCGTTCCTTCAAGTATTCTATGTAAAGAAATAATATACTATCGGAGGTTTAATGGACCGAAACCAAACTATGGGTAAAAGGCCCGCCATCGGGAATGGCTTCCGAAATTTCGACAATATATGTGGGACCTCTTGCTTTCGCTTACATTGAAATGCCACTGCCGCAGCCGCAATCGAACCAGCGGCCTTGAGGTCAACAGCCGACCACCATCACCACTGTACCATCTCGGCGGACATTAAGAAACGTAAAAAATAAGTTATATTGTGGCAAGGCGCCGCAGCCCATTTCCGTCATATCGGGATAGTAACGCTTTCTTCACATTGATGCAAATCATCACAACTTACATGCGTCATTGCTATATCTTGTTAGCAAGCAGAATTGTTTTGTGCTAAGACAGGAGACAGGCCAAAAGACAGAAGAGACATGAGAGCGCACGTCATGCTCTTTCTTGGAGTGATCCATTTCGCGTCTAATGCTGACCTGTACATAAAAAACAACTTGTAACCGAACTGGCTTGGCTGTACCCATACTTGGCTCGGAAAACAGCAATTTGCCCCCAAATTTTCGATGAGGTGTAACATACCGTTCGTCCGTATCGTTTCAGTGGTCTGTAGTGTGGGCAAGCAAGAGTACGAAGTAGGGCGCGTGGGTAATGCATAACTAATAGCGTAGCGCGTAGAAATTCTGAGACACAGGACAAGGAAAGGGACAAAGAGGAGCGCTAACTTCCAAAAAACTTCCAACAAAATAAATTTCGTTTTAAGTTAGCGCTCCTCTTTGTCCCGGCCCGGAAGTTTTTTGGAAGTTAACACTCCTCTTCGTACCTTCTCTTGTCCTGTGTCTTACAGTTTTGCGCACTACGTTCTTAGCTATGTAATGGACAAGCAGTGTGCCATACAGTGAGACCCACAGTAAGAACACCAGAGTACATAAGAGGAAAACATTCCTTCCCTCCTCAAAGTTGCTTTGTTTTTTAAGCTGAGGAACACCGCCTTGCTGTGGGTTCTAAAGGTGTGCTGTTAATAATATTGCCATGTTCCATTTCCCAAGTTTTTGTTATCATTTGGCATCTGCATGTGTATTTCGCCCTGGAAGATGCTGCTCGGACCTGGTTCGAGAATCAAGAGCGAAGCCTCACAACGTGGGACGCCTTTGGGCCAGGTTCCTCACCACTTTCGCAAGTGTGGTGCGCAAGGAGAAGGCCGCAGCTCTCCTCGAAAACCGCATGCAGATGCCAAATGAAAACGTGGCGCTATTCACGGAAGATATGGTTAAACTTTTCCGCCACGCTGACTCCGACATGTCCGAGGAGAAGAAGGCGCGTCTACTTATGCGAGGAGTAAAGCAGGAACTCTTCGCCGGGCTGATCAGAAACCCGCCTAAGACGGTTGCCGAATTCATTTCCGAAGCATCTACGATAGAGAAGACGCTCGAGATGCGCACGCGGCAATATAACCGTAGCTTCTCGTCTACAAGCTACGCCGACATTCAAGCGCTTGGAACCACTGACTTGCGTGAGACGATCCGAGTGATCGTGCAAGAGAGCTGTGAAAATTACTTCCTTCGGCGCAGCCTCACGTGGAATCCATCGCGGACGTCGTACGCCAGGAGATACAGCGGTCGCTGGGCGTTCCTCAGCTTCAAGAGCCGCAGCTGCAAGTCATGAGCTATGCTGCTGCAGCACGCCGCCACGCCCCTCCTCCACGCGCACGCCAAAACGCCACCCCATCGCACTTCCGTCGCCAGACGTCTGCTGTCATTGGACTTTCCGTTTACCGGGCACAGGTTCGCCCAAATAAACAGTTAAATCCCAACACGAAGTCTCCTGTCTTCGGCCACGTCACGACCCCATGACAGTATTCGTTCAACATTTCATTCAATCGAGATGTCAATGCAGTGCTATATCTACATAGGTGGCACCACATATCTGTTAAATTTATCAAAACGACCACGTACTTGCAAACATTTCATTAGCACTAGGTGCGCATAAGCCTTCGAAAGTGAACGTATACAGTAATCATGCAGCAAGGCATGAGTCGTGTGATGTCTTTGAGATTTTGTATAGCTGCGTGGGGTGAAGTTTTCTTGAAGGTCTCATATAGTTTGGGGCCACACGAGTGGTTCTAAACAAACAATTCGTAAGTCATACTCTAGAACGCAGATTCGAGTAATTTCGTGAAGCACACTGCTGTGGGACATCAATGCCATCAGGAGTCAGCACATTTCAGGCATTATTTATTGACTTGAAAAGCAAAGAAAGCTCATTTGTGTAGAAAACGCACTGCTGCTGTAAGATATGGCTTAATTTAGTTGTAAATGGCGCAGCTAAAAGTTATATTTACTAACCCAAGCTTGTAAAATAATAATAGAAATTCATCCTTAATTTAGTGAAATGACAGCACGTGTTACAAGTGCGAGGATTCACCTGGACAGAAAATGCACTTTGTAGATCAAGCCAGCTACTCTGGACCAGCTTTAAAATATCCCACAAGACATGCTATATAGAGAAATCTATGTTTATTTACTTATTCATAGGCCGCATTTCGCAACAAACGAGTTTGGTTACATGCTTCGGAAGCTATTAATTTTATTTATTTCGAATACTTCCTCTATTATCTCTCAGCACAGAAGGTAAAAGGTCAATACAAATATTTTTAAGTGTCTTAGACTGTTACCGGGCGACTGAGGTTTCGAAGACAGAATAAAAGACGCTCGAAGCAAATAATAAAGTATTATACAAGCCAAAATAAAACATAATACTAATACTGGCGAGTAATATCGAATGCGATTATTCAAATCATGATAATGACTAGCGGAAATTAAACAGATTTTGAGTATCGTGTGCTAGAAATCAATGCAGAGGAACACACTGTTGTCTCCGTGAAATATTTCTTGCTCAATAAACTTAATTCAATTTAATTCAATATTACAACTTGTGTGTGTGCTGTGCAAATTACCATGGAATTGTTCGCATTTTCAAATGCACAATAATGTTACATCTAGAAAAATCTGTTCGTATTGATTCGGCAGATTAGAGCGTGTACATAGTAAGCCTAACAACCGAGTGTCTTCGTATTGCAGTGGGCGAATGTGTTTTCTTTTATGACCGATAAAAACCGAATGTGTTTTCTTTTATAACCGATAAAAACATCGATGTGTCGCCTCCACACTGTATACAGCGTGGATGCTACACATTGCAGTTTTCTACAAGATGGCCGGCCTTCTTACGCAGCACGACCATGGGCACATTTGCGAGCCGGAAGGTCCCCAGGGAAAGTACATCATGTACGCCTCTGCGACCAGGGGAGACAGGCCCAACAATGACCGCTTCTCGCCGTGCAGCATCGGCAACATGAGCGCAATATTGAAGCCTTTATTCAACAGCAAGACATCGCGCGAGAATTGTTTCCTGAGTGAGTCCACCGCATGTTCAATGCGAACATCGTACGAAAGGTCACTACATCTTCCATATTTACAAAAGCAAAACAGCTGGAATGTTCAGCCAGCTTCCATAAGGCCAATCATAATCATTAGATGTGTAATTGCTATCTCCCTCATGCAGCCTGTCCATCGCATTTTCTTTCGCCTAGATCGCCGCTCCAAAGATGCGGTTCAGTATAGGTAAACTAACTTGTTAAAGGGTCATCCAGTGGCTTGAGGAGGCTTTGACGATGCAACGGAGAAAAGGAGCCGACGACCCGTCTAACGGGCGCGGAGGCACCGAGTAACTGTCGCCTAGTCGGAGCACCACATCCTCGAGGTCTAGGCTCTGAGATTATCAGACTCTAATAGCCGTAATCTTAAGATGAGGAACATCCCCGCCCTGTGAGGCCGGGGACTTCCTACATGCCGGATGTATGAATAAATGTTATTTCTCTCTCTCTCTCTCTAACGTCTTGAATAACTCGCCACTTTATGGTGCCACGCTTCATTGAAATAATCGAAAACACCACATTCTTTGTATCGTAAAGCATGACTCATTTGTACTATTCTTAGGTAGTTTGCATAATATCGCTTAATATTTGTGTTTTAAATTCGTATGCCTACAACTACAGGTTTGTAAAGTATCTTGTGTTTGTTAAGGTTACTTTATTTTTGCTTCATCGGTGTCGCTGTTGTAAAATACCGACTAAGGATGTAATAACTGCTTCACTGATACTGCCCCCTCCCTTTTCCCATTTTATGTAACACCCATCAAGTGATTGAGGGTTTATGAATGTGAAAAATAAACAAATAAAGTAGTGCGTGTTGGCCATGCAAACCATCACACATATCTGTGACCCAAAATAATTGTGTACTTCACCGATATTGAACAGCACCGGTCCTCTAGCCAACATGCGATTGGCCCATCAAATATGAGACGAACGCCGAAGTGGATTTCACTGGCACCGAGAGGCTCTTGTTTTTCTCCTATCTACCACGTTGTACCACGTGTCTACCACATGCAATTGTGTTTTAATCCATACGTCTACAACTAAAACCCTGTAATAACTCTTGTGTGTGCGAACGGTACTTTAGTATTGCTTCATCAATTACTCCGGATTCTTAAATGAAGTTTTTCGTACCGTACCACGTTGTTGGGCCGCCCACAGTGTTGCTACAGCAGAAAGCACGGAAAACAGCCGTTTGAGAGTCCACTTCTACTTTGTATATGTTTAAGTGAAGACGCATGCAAACTAAAGAACCAACATAAACGCAATGTCACCGTTAAAGGCATACGGTCGCTCGCCTGTGCCTTTGAGCTCAGGCATACGATCCCGGTGATAGCTCCGAAAGTTGAGATATTTGAAATATTACTGAACAAGGTTTTAATGAATGCGCAGTTCTTTGCAACACTTCAGGTTAATTAGATAAGTGACGGTAATTATCTGGAAAATTAAACAGAAACGTTGCCGTCAGCATTAGTCCACTTAAGGTATAAGCGAATTAACATGCTGTGGTATTTTAAAGGTGGCACGCTGTGCGATGTGGGGAAATCAGTCGGTAGAGCGGGCCCAATTATTTCATCTGCCCGCAGCAATGGGGGGAGGGGGTGATCCTTGATGGAAAGAAAAGTAGTTTGGTTAGCAGTGCATGATAACTGTCTCTCCAATGAGGAAACCTTAAATGAAACACTGGTAAAGAAAAATAAAGGGAATGGAGATGTTACGTAGTGTTGGAGAAGATGGTGATCGCACCCATGCGGTGCGATCACCATCTTCTCCAACACCAGGTGATCACCATGCCACACTCTGGTATGGGTGGGGGACACGAGCGGGTGTAGTACAGAGAGATATGGATGGCTAGAAACAAAGCGTGCCTGTTTTCCCAGTATATTCAGCTATAGTGTTGGAAGTGGGGAGAGGTCACGCCGTCATGAGGGAAGCGCTGCAGCTGATCTTCAGCGCGACTAAATGAATGGCTATAGAGTCCCGCTTATGCAGTCCTCAATGTACTGTGAGGGCGGGGTGACAGGCCGTCCATCTAACGAAGACAGCCTGGAGTAGGCTTGTAGGCATAGAGGAGAAAATTCCGCCGACTTAAGCTGTACTTATCTACAACTGTCTGCCTATGAAACTGCAGACAAGCTGTCACAACGCTCTGCAAAAGTGGTAAGGCGGCTGACCGTACCGTGTCCTAGTACTCGAACGTCCCCATCGAATGCAGGGTGCGCTGTGTTCGGTTTTACCATTGCTACCGGGCACGCACCGGTATTTGAAAAGGGGGAATGGTGCTTCGACCTGGCGCTCGGCTGTGTGCGTACGCGAGAAGGTAGCCACTTTGCGCTCTCTTGAATTATAGTGTACTCCATCTAGTACACTGTACTTGTATCGTTTATTCCCCGATTCATCTATGGCCCTTCGCCTTGTTCCTTCATGGGTTGCAGAAACCAGCTTGTTTCCTAACTAATTACGACCATCTTTAAGAAGCGCCGCGCATGCCCATCGTTGGAAGTCGTCGGAAGCGGCTTCAAAGGCTCAGCGACTCTAGATGACTGGCTGCTTAGTGTGGTGTTGGGCGCTCCCTGTCCTAAATTGAAGATACTTATCACGAAGTCATGGGCTTCCTATCAGTTTCGGTTTCGCGTGATGTGTCGCATAGCGCCGTACAACGGCAAATTCCTGTAACCATTGTCACGCACTCACCCCAAATACGCAGCAGTCCCTTTCCCGTTCTCGGCCTCGCTTGACGCGCCCATTGTCTTCGCCGGACGGGGCATCCGGCAGCAATACAAAACTTATGGTGTCATCCATTGGCAGATTGGAGCACTTGCAGTAATACTTTTTTCTGTTCCATGTGGAGCAACTATTCCATTGGAGAATTGATTGCTTCGTCTCCGTGCTCTGCGTGTTGCAGATTGCGTTGTCTCAAAAAGAGGAACGATGCGACACGTTCGCCCACTTAACCTACACTCTTCATCCAACAAGCTTTGTTAAAGTTCGTCGTGGGTGATGTGTTTGCGATTGCCTCTGTGCCCATGACAGCATGTTTTTTAAAACCTAATTAGTGCAAGTATGCTTGCTGTCATAC